ATCTGTATCTGTATCTGTATCTATCTATCTATCTATCTATCTATCTATCTATCTATCTATCTATCTATCTGGCATAATTTGATTCACTCTGGACACTATGACCATTTGTCAGCCTCAAAACAAATTACTTTTCTTAGGTAGTTATTAAAATGTAGATGATTTCTGGGAGTTGAAGTTCACACTTTTTAAAGTTGCCAAGTTTGAAAAACACTGCTCCACAGCTAAATTCTTTCAATCAAATTTATTCAAGGCTGTCATTACTTTTTGTATAAAACCAGTTTGATTCTGATTTGGTGTATATATAGAAGCCAACATTACAGTGATTACTCCCTTTAATAAAAATTAATCCTCCCCTTCTTTTTAAACATTTTCTACCATAAAATCAATATTAGTTTTAAGTAAGATAGCTACCCCTCTTGACCTACTATTCCCTTCCTCAAAAACTGTCTTCCAAAATATTTGTCCTTAATATTTTCTGAGCTATAAATTTCCTGTAACATAACCACAGACTGATTAAAATATTTGAAATACTTACTGATTCTAGTTATTTTTTATTGGATCACCAAACCCCCTAACATTTAGTGAAACTATCCTACATAATTCACTCATACTACATTATACTTCTGCTGTTCCTATTCTGTTTACCATTCCTACAAACCAAACTCATCAACAATGAAACTCTATTACCTTATAAGCCAATGGCATTTGCAATAAAATTTGTGAAAACGTTAGTACTTATTTTCTTACTATCTTTTTGCCTCCTATAGCCCCTTCCCCAATTCTATCCCAGTTTCCCTCCCATTCATCCCCCCCCCCCAATTTTCCCACTCCCAACTCATTTAGACTTCAGAAGTTCACGGAGGATTAATAAAATTCTCTAATTGATCTAATTAGGATAGTGCTGCACTGCTCTCTAAATCCCCCTTCCCAATTCCTCTTGTCCTTATATTAACTTCTATATAATACTTTGCCATTCTCTGTATTTTGTCTTACTTATTTGCCAACTGATATGAAATCATCTTAAACATTTATTTTATAACAATCATCGTGTAAGTTCCAAGTGCCAAAAAATCCTTTTATCATAATGTCTTTTATAGAGATATATAAATTCTTTGAACACCAAAGGTTGTTTCTATTAGTTCTTCAAAATACCCTTTAGGTTTCTTAAGGCTATTCAACTCTTGAAGCATAAAAATAGTCTCTCTTCCTTATGGTTGAAACAAAATTAGCTTGCAATGAAACCCCCATTTATAATGCATTCATTTTTTTCATAATTCTTCCATCAAAGTCTTGAAAGCTTTGGCTGGACTAATATTGAAAAAAATGATGCTTTATCTTGATCCTAATTTTTCCCTTTTTACAAAATTCTGTCTCTCACCCAACCATTTACAAATATTATTATTATTTCCCTTGTTTTTGCATCCAATTGAATTTAGGAATAAATACTTTATGGACACATTCCACATCTTTATCTGAAAGCTTTAAATTTGGAAGTATGTCAATAAGTTTTGATATACAATATCTAATTCAACCTAATTCCTTTAATTCTCAAATTATTTATTCTATGCCAATCCTGTTTAATGTCTGTGTATCTTCTTAAACTTTTCTAATATCCAACTCATTTTTCATAGCAAGATCATATGTTGTGCTAGCAGTCTGAGTGACATCTGAAACTTAAGAAGCCAATTATTTCAGTTATTTATTAACTTGTTCAAATGTTCATGCCAAGTCTTGTCAGATTGTACTACCTGACTTATCCCATTCTGCCTTTGGTTCTTGTTTCAGTTGCTTAATTAGATTTCCTGTCAACTCAGTTTCGAAACTTCATCCGGAATGGCACCTGATTTTTGTGTGCTCTGTTGGAACATCTTCTTCTGACTTTTGTTCTTAATTACTAGAGTAATTTTTACTTAATTGCTAGAGTGGAGTGCCACTTTCTTTGACATTTTTTATTATTAATATTCCAATTAGCCAGATATTAATGCCAATTAGCCAGATATTAATCACATATGAATGGGAAAATTATCAGAAAATCTGGATTTGGAAGTAGCTAGTCACAGTCTTCTTAGATATCATTGTTAATCCACATTTGGATTTAGCTGCTATTACTGAAATAGATGGGTACAGTAGCCTTCACCAACAGGTAAATGTCTTCCTGACAGTGTTTTCCAGTCCCAAAAGCTGACTGCTACTTCAGTATTTTCTTAATTTTTAAATGATCAAGAACATATGGTCTATATAATTGTTCACTCTGTAACTGATTACAAAAAGGCACTCTGTGTGATCATGAACTAGCAAACTCCACGTAGCCCATCAACTTATCAAAAAAAAAAATCAGCTGTACTTTAATAAAAGGAGCAGAGTCCTGCTGAATTGAAAATATACACATGTGCACGCACATATACAGAAGCATGAGACTGGATACAAATTTGTCAGTACACCCATTCATTTTCAGTGAGAAATGGAATCAGTGGGAAGCTCTCTTCAGTTTGCAGCCCTGAGTCTCACTTTCCACACTGTTCAAGATACCCCTAGGACAATGTGAAAAGAATGGGAGGTACTTCTGGAATGTCAGGATCGAATCCAATTACTCTGATATGTGCCCAGTGACCTTATATGCGGTGATGGAATGTATCAACGAGGAGGAAAGTGATATGGGAGATCAAGCTATCAGGAAGGAGAGGGTGCATTCCAGCAGGGGAAAGGAGACAAAAGACAACACAGTCTACAGGGGGAGCGTGAGAAGAGTAAGAGGTTCAGGGTAGCCACTCCCTAGAATCTCCCAGGGTATATCCACTAATTGCTGTAGTATAGATTTAGTTT